TAAGATAATGACATTTTTTTTATCTTGTAAATTTCATTCAAATAACCTTGTATATTGGTAAACTGGATAACATTTTAAGTGTAGTCTTTATTTGAGTACTTGATATTTACCGGTAGTAAAATTTATGTTTGATATCTTTATTACGTTAGGAATCTGGGATTAAGTTTAGATATGATGAAACAAAGAGAAGGGTATCTGACAACATCATGGACCAGTGGATCGTGTCGTTTACCCAGAGTTTAGTGCTATTTGTGAAAAATGAGATGGCAGGTCAGTGTATGATGATACTGTTTACACTAGATCCTACGGCACATCTTGAAGCTCTAAAATAATCACAGAATCTTTAATCCAGAGTTTAGTGCTATTTGTGAAAAATGAGATGGCAGGTCAGTGTATGATGATACTGTTTACACTAGATCGTACGGTACATCTTGAAGCTCTAAAATAATCACAGGATCTTTAATCCGAGATACTGTGTGTGCTTAATGATCTAAACATATTATCGTGCAGATTTTCTAATTAAAGTTCACTTAGCATACTCTAATATTCGTGTTTGCTGTCTTTCCACAGCTTACAGGTTGTATACAGTGTTGCCTCGCCTGGTGAAGTTTGTTGACCAGTTGACTAACTGGTATGTACGTATGAACAGGAAAAGACTAAAAGTGAGTATAAGATGATTTTTGTTACTGATTGTCATCAGATTTTTTATATTTTTAACTAACTTTTACAATATGTTTTACTTCACAGACTGTACTTTATTAGATCAACTAATTGGTAGCTAAGAAAGAACTTCATTCTTGTACATTATTGGTACTTCATTCTTGTACATTATTGGTACTTCATTCTTGTACATTATTGGTACTTCATTCTTGTACATTATTGTTACTTCATTCTAGTACATTATTGGTAATTCATTCTTGTACATTATTGGTACTTCATTCTTGTACATTATTGTTACTTCATTCTTGTACATTATTGGTACTTCATTCTTGTACATTATTGGTACTTCATTCTTGTACATTATTGGTACTTCATTCTAGTACATTATTGGTACTTCATTCTAGTACATTATTGGTACTTCATTCTAGTACATTATTGGTACTTCATTCTTGTACATTATTGTTACTTCATTCTTGTACATTATTGGTACTTCATTCTTGTACATTATTGGTACTTCATTCTTGTACATTATTGGTACTTCATTCTAGTACATTATTGGTACTTCATTCTTGTACATTATTGGTACTTCATTCTTGTAGATTATTGGTACTTCATTCTTGTACATTATTGGTACTTCATTCTAGTACATTATTGGTACTTCACTTTTTAATAAAGAAGATGGGTACGTATCTATATTACTTGTAGGTTTGTAGTAGGTATGTATCTATGTTACTTGTAGGTTTGTAGTAGGTACGTATCTATGTTACTTGTAGGTTTGTAGTAGGTACGTATCTATGTTACTTGTAGGTTTGTAGTAGGTACGTATCTATGTTACTTGTAGGTTTGTAGTAGGTACGTATCTAT